TTATCACCGAAGCTAAGCAACGGTCGGATACAGTAGCAGCCGCAGCAAAGAAGAAGGCAGAGGACGCCGAGAAGGCACGTCTGTTGGCAATTGAAAAGCAGCGCCAGCAAGACGAGGCAACAGCAAAGGCTGTCGATGAAGAACGACTTCAACGATGCGAGAAGATATTCAGCGGAGAGCGAGCCTTGCTCGCAATGGCAGGGGACTGGCGGGCCAAGGCCGAGAATGGGAAGATGGAACAGAGCGAAAACAAGATCGCTCTACTCCTCTCGCATCTCATGGACCTCCTGGCCACGTGCATTACACAGCAAGAGGACAATCACAACCTCGACGATGCGGTTCAAACGCACAATCAGGTGCACCAAGTCAACAACCGCCTCCAACAGCTAGAATAAACCGTCGCTGCCCCCATTGCCAGCTCTTCCAACACCTCTGATCGCCTCGAGGCATTGGAGATTGACGTCGGATCCCTCAAGGACGGCGTGCAGTTCCAATAAACCGCAATGCAATAGTTGGAGCAGCGGATGAGTACTGCCGCCACCCACGCGAGCTCGGAACCGCGCGAGACAACTCCAAAGTTCGCTGATCAGAAGATCTTTTGTGATTCGACGAAGACGGACCCGATTCCGTGGTTTCGCAAGTTCGAACTCAAGTTGCAGCTACACTACGTCAGCGAGCAGAAGCATCACGCGTACTTGTACTCCCGCTCGGGGGGCTCGTGCCAAGCATGGCTGGACAATCTCTTGTCCAAGTACGGAGTGGTGGCTGGCGACTTGCACACCAAGATCAGCTGGGATGATCTGAAGGCGGCGTGGCATAAGCGGTTCCAAGTAGAGCTGCCGGAGATCAAGGCAATGGACAAACTGATGGTCTTCGAACAAGGCACGCTGTCGAGTGTTGATTGGATTGCCGAGTACCAACGCTTGTCATCCGTCCCAGATATTCAAATGGGCTTCAAAGCCATCAAACAGTACTTCATCTCGAGCTCGTGTCCGGCATTGGGCAATGCCTTGACTCACGTCGAGGACACCCTGACGATACCGGCGGAGCTCTTCGACAAGGCCGCGCAGATTATTGTCATGAACAAGGAGGCCAAGAACCTCCACCGTTCGTCTGTGACAGGCCTGAGCAGAGATCAGCATCACCCGAAAGTGGTCATGGTCGTGACTGCAACGCCAAACGACCAAACTAGTGGGGCCGTGTCTGCCAATGAAGGGGACAGAATCGCAGCCGCCTGGGACGGTGGCCGCCCCGACAAAGGACGAGGACGCGGCAAGGCGGAGACAAACACCGCATCTAGCCCCGGGCCCGACGCAGCAGCTCCAGCCCCATGGTCCCACTACGGTCTCTCCGAAACAGCGTACAAGGCACGCACGAGATTCCGCTATTGTTTGTGGTGTAACAACGATCTCCATGAGACAATGGGCTGCTCATCCAAAGGCAAAGGAAAATCGGAAAACTGAGCACAGCCAGGAGTAAGTCGACGACACTCTCGACGCCTTCGTAACCGGTCACTTCGCGGGTGACCGCCCTTCGTTCCAAGGCACATGCGGAAGTCGATAGTCCTCCTCTTCTTTATTCTTTTGAGGACTATGCTGCCCGTCTCATTCCTATGCTGGGTACTCGTGCTCGAGGACAAGACGTGTGTGCGGCATCTTCTTCGTCCGACAACGACAACTTATCGTCTTTAAGTGGTTTTTCACGGGATTCGACGCGTGAGTTCAACATAGAGGTATTAGACCCGCTCACGTCTAAGGATTTCGCATGGTTTCCTCTCCCGACCACGGGCCACTTGCCGGGACCGCAATGCCCAACATTATGCGCTCATTTTCACACGTACTTATCCTTCTATGCACCACCAACTTTTCCGACGGATGACGAAGTCGAGGCGGGGGACATCCTTGCGTATGTTACCAAGGTGGCCCATGAGTTTCGCAAGCAGCGGTACAATGACAACAATGCACCGCTCCTCTATGTCCACATCCAAGTTGGCCAAGCATCCTGCAGCGCTTTGCTGGATAGTGGTTCATCTCGCAATTTTATGAACCAAGCCTTTATGCAAAGGGTTGGCCTTGGCGCACAAGTTCGAAGGAAGGCAAACCCGACGGTGATCAAGTTGGCAGACGGAAGGACGCAGCAACTTATCGACAGCTACATCGAGGCCGTACCGGTATATTTCGCACCTCATGCATGCGAACCAGTGACATTCGACATTTTGGACACGGACTTCGACATTATTTTGGGAATGCCTTGGCTTGCAAGTGCGGATCACACGGTCAACTTCCACAGGCGGACTCTTACCGTTCGCAATGCCTTCGGCTCCGAAGTGTCGTGTACTATTCCTCTTCTGCACCCTTCGATTCTGTGCCAAGTGGCAACGGCCAAGTCATTCCGGGGTCCTTATGCTTACGACCAGCCCGACAAAATCGGCCTATGCTTCCTATGGACCGTCACGGTAGCCGACTCGTCACCCACGGACTTGTCTTCGGACCCCCATGTGGTGTGGTTGCTTGACGAGTTTGCCGGTATCTTCGAGTCACCTACTGGTGTGCTGCCGGATCGGCCAATTTCTCACGAGATCATTCTTGAGGCCGGTGGCGTGCCGCTGAAAGGTTGCATTTATCGCATGAACGAGGAGGAGCTTACGGTCCTCCGCGCACAAGGGATGGATCCGCCCTATTAGCTCTCCATATGGAGCGCCAGTTCTCTTCGTACGGAAGAAGAACAAGGATCTACGATTGTGCATCGACTACCGCAAGCTCAACATGCAAACCGTCAAGAATTTGGGGCCTCTTCCTCGTCTCGACGATCTTCTCGAGCAATTGGGCGGCGCAAAGTACTTCTCTAAGTTCGATTTGAAGTCGGGATACCATCAGATTTCGATCGGACTGAACGATCGCTATAAATAAGCGTTCAAGACGCGGTATGGGCATTTTGAGTGGGTGGTCATGCCTTTTGGCCTCACCAACGCCCCGACGACCTTTCAAGTGGCAATGGCCAATGAGTTTCGCGCAATGTTGGACTGGTTCGTGCTGGTCTACTTAGACAATATTCTCGTCTATAGTCGGATATTGGAGGATCATCCTGGGCACCTTCAACGATTGTTGGAGACGCTCCGCCGCGCCAAGTACAAGGCCAACCGCGACAAGTGCGAATTTGTCCGACAAGAGCTGGAATACTTGGGCCATTTTGTCACACCGGAGGGCATCAGTCCGTTATCGGACAAGATTCAAGCCATCCAGGAGTGGCCGGAGCCGCGGAACGTCGCAGATGTCCGTTCGTTCCTTGGGCTTGCCGGCTACTACCAACGTTTTATCAAGGGATACTCGAAGATCGCGGCCCACTTGACCGAGCTTCAATGCGAGGATCGACCGTTTGACTTCGGAGAGGAGGCGCTGGAATCATTTTTGGCTCTCAAAGCCGCGCTATTATCTGCGGAGGTCTTGCGCATATATGACCCGCTATTGCCTACACGCATCACTACGGATGCGTCCGGCTATGGCATTGGTGTCGTCCTCGAGCAACACGATGGCGTGGACTGGCACCCGGTCGAGTACTTCAACAAGAAAGTGCTCGTCGTGCACTCCATTGATAATGCACGCAAGAAGGAGCTCCTCGCCTCCGTCCACACTCTCAAGCGGTGGCGGCGCTTCCTCCTTGGTCGAATTCAATTCCGATGGGTAATGGACAACAATCCGTTGGTCTTTTACAAGACCCAAGACACCGTTAACAGCACCATCGCCCGATGGATGGCTTTCGTCGACCAATTCGACTTCCTTCCCGATCACATTCCGGGTAAGTCGAACCGTTTAGCGGATGCTCTTTCACGACGTCCGGATCATTGTACCGCGGTCTATTCAACCTTCGAGATCGACGACGACAGCTTCATCCGCGGCCACCAAGCCGACCCTGAGTTTTGCGACAAGTACGCGAATTGCTCCTCTCCTAATCCGACACCTTGTTACTACCGGATCCAAGAGGGGTACTTGCTTGACAATGTCCACACGCGGGGGAAGGACCTTCTTTGCGTACCGAGTGACTCTCACGTGCTGCGTACACGGCCTCTTGGCGAGTTCCACGACGCTCTCGCCACCGGACACTTTGGAGGCAATCGCACGATTGGCTGACTTCGCGAGCGATTTTGGTGGCCCGGCCTTCTCGGCGACGTTACACGCTATTGCGAGTCATACGAGTTTTGCCGACGCTGCAAATCTCGCAACTATCATTTGTACGGCGAGTTGCGTCCCTTACCGGTCCCCTTGCGCCGAAGGGAAGCAATTGCCATGGACATTACCGGGCCGTTTCCCAAGCACAAGACCGGTGTGGACGAGATTCTCACTGTGGTCCGCCGACTCACCAAGTTTGCCATGTTTTTGCCTTGCCGCTATCATGCCAAGGCATCGGAGTTGGCCGAGGTTCTTTGCGCCGGTTGGATTCGAACCAAGGGTTACCCCAAGGAAATCGTCTGCGACCGCGACACTCGGTTCATGTCTGATTTTTGGTTGGCGCTCATCAAACGATGGGGCTCATCTCTCAAGCCAAGTTCGGCTCGCCACCCCCAAACTGATGGCCAAACGGAGAGGGCGCATCAGACCGCACAGGTTCTCCTTCGCACTCTCATTTGTCCCGACCAAAAGGATTGGGTTGAGTGGCTGCCGGATGTCGGGTTGGCATACAACTCGTCCATCCACCCGACTATCGGGATGTCGCCCTGCGACTTCGAGCACGGCTCGCCGGTTGCGCTATTGCGATTTTTCATAGCGAGAAAACAAAATCCAAGAAAAGAAAAAAAAAATCAATTTTCGGCAGTGAGGTCAAAATCGTGATTTTGGGGGCTAACTAGTGTGCTCTAATCAATCAATCCACACTAATCAGCTACCTAGTCCCCGCACAGGTGTCAGATCAGGTTGTCCGAATTCACATGCGGCGCTCCGATACCAACTGTTACATGCCCAGTTGGGCGATGTACATGTAAAACCGAGGATCCGCAGTGTGATGAAAAGGACTGAATGGACAATGCTGTGCTAGTGAAATCTCAACAAGCAGTGTATATCTTGATACATACAAAAATGGTGTTTTATAGCGCAGGGGAAGATTTAGATACAAGTCCTGACCTGACCAGGACTAATCTCTTTTACGTAGTATAAGACAGCGCAGCAGAATGATAGAATACCAATGACTAGCCCAATCAATGTTGCAACGCAGACCAAACATACATCATCCTCATCACAAGGTGTGAAGGGGCCTGGCRYTACACACAGGAAGAATGCGCCAGGTCCAGATCATGCACAGACGAAGAGGAGGGGAACAGACGAAGAAGAGGGGGAGAGATGGGAATGTCGTCAACACCACGTCTTTGTTACAAGTCCCAAATAATCCCTCGTCAAAATGTCTGAAGCCCAATGTTGAGTCTGGATCTGTAGCGGACCTTTGGTTGGTTGGCCTGTGAGACCAGCCCCTTGGCCTGTTCTCACAGGCCTGTGTTTTATTCGGGGCAGTCCAATCCAGGCCGGTACCCCTGTCGGTACCAGCCAGTCCAGTCCAGTCCCGTCAAACCGCTGGGGTATACCCCAGCAGTTGTCTGTTTTCGAGATCATTTTCTACAATTGCACGATTTTGGAGTACGTGCGTTAGAGTCTTGCGTGGGAGCTGCGCTGTGCCATCTCGCTCCTCCCTCATCCTCCATATCCATCTGTATCCCAGGCGGAGCACCTTCCCGGTGGGTCCGCTACATTGGTATCGGAGCGGGAAAGTTCCCCGCTCCCACCCACCACCCCACACAGCTGGGAATACAACCAGCACCCTGTACAGCTGGAAAAACAGCAAACCCGACAGCGGTTTTTTTCGCTGTTTTTCGGGTTATTTCCAGCGAAAAGGAGGGAAAAAGCAGCGCCTGTGGGGAGTTGACACGTGGCGAAAAAAGCAGGCGCCACCACGAGCGCGTGCGCGCCACGCGCCCACGCTGCCCCGCTCCGCTCCCGGATTTACATTATCAAGATCCAGGATTTTTGCTGCTGCTGGGGTTTGAACCCAGGCGCCTGTCGGTCCATGCGCATGCATAAGCACCCTGATAACACACTGGCCACAGAGTGTAGATATTCTTGTAGTACGGCACTCCTGTTGAAGAGGTGCCGTGCTGGCTATTTACCCCCC